TGAGAGAGAGAGAGAGAGAGAGAGAGAGAGAGAGAGAGAGACGTAAGAAGAGATTAGGGATTTTGAGATTGGGGATTTTGGTTCAAGAGTGGCGGGAAACCCGAGCGGGAATAGAAAGGGGGGGTGAGATTACAAAAGAATTTTTTTTTTTGATTTTCATTACAAATTAATATTTAAATAATAAAATGACTTTTTTTTTACAACGGAGGATGCCGTTGCCAAAAAAATTATTTTTTATTGAAATAATTTTTTTTTAGTTAATGAATTTTTTTTTTCATCTAATAAGGTTGAAAATTTATTTGTTTCATATTTATTTTAATGAATAAAAAATTATTAATTTTTTTTTATTTGGTAGAAGTAGGGATAATATTTTCTATTAAAATAAAGTTAATTTTTTGTGGTCAATGAAAAAAAAAATTTTGCGATCCATTTTTTTTTTTGATACTAAAAATCAAGAACTAATTTTTTATGGTAGAGGATGGGAAGTGGTAGTAGTGGTGAAAGTGGTGGATAAAAGGTGATAGTGGTGGTGGTAGCGATGGTGAAGGAGATAAGTGGTGAAGTTGTGGTAGTTGTAGAGGAGATAGAATAAGGATGGTGGATGAGAGGTAATGGTGGTAGTAATGGTGGTAGCGGAGTGGTAGCGATGGTGGTAGTAATGATAGTTGTAGAGGTTGAGTGACAACAGTGGTAGTAGTGGAATTGCATTTGCAGTAGTGGTGAATGTGGTAGAGAAAATGGGTGGTAAGAGAGAGAGATGAGTGATAGACAAATAGAGAAGAGAGATAGAGAGAGAGAAAGAGAGAGAGAGAGAGAGAGAGAGAGACAGACAGACAGAGACAAAGTGATGAGCGAGAGAGAGACAAAGTGGTCGCTAAAAGTGCATTTTCTCGTAGTGGAGAGCTCGGTAAATAGAGAAGAGATGATGGAGAGAGTGAGCAGGGTAAACACAATGGGGGAGAGAGACAAACAGACAGACAGACACATTGAGAGAAAGAGAGAGAGAGAGAGAGAGAGAGAGAGAGAAGAGTGAGAGACAGACAAACAGACATAGAGAGAGAAAGGGAGAGAGAAGAGTGATAAGTGAGAGAGAGACAAAGAGAGAAAGAGATATATATATAGAGAGAGAGACATATAGAAAAATAGAGAGAAACAAGAGATGAGCGAGAGATAGACAAAGAGAGAGAGAAAGAGAGCGAAAAGAGATGATCGAGAGAAAGACAGAAAAATAGAGAGACAAAGAGAGAAGAAAGATGAGCGAGAGAGACAGAGAGAAGATAAATGAGCGAGAGAGAAGAGAGAAGAGAGATAGAGAGATGAGAGAGATAAAGAGAAGAGAGATGAGTGAGAGAGACATAGAGAGAAAGAGATGAACGAGAGAGACAGAGAGATGAGCGAGAGAGAGGTGAGAGAGATAGAGAGAAGAGACATGGGTGAGAGAGATAGAGAGAATAGAGATGAGCGAAAGAGACAAAGAGAGAAAAGAGATGAGAAAAGAGATAGATGAATGAGAGACACAGAGAGAGAGAGACAAATAGACAGATAGAGAGAGAAGAGTGATGAATGAGAGAGAGAAATAAAAGAGAGAGAAGAAGATGAAAAAATGGGTGAAAAGATATAGACAAAGAAAGAGAGAGACAGAGAGAGAAAGAAAAAAAAAAGAGTGAAAAGAGATAAACGAGAGAGAGACAAAACGAGATGAGCGAGAGAGCGAGAGAGAAAAAAAGAAGAGAGAGAGAAGAGAGACAGAGAGAGAAGATACATGAAAGAGATAGAGAGAAGAGCGATGGACGAGAGACACAGAGAAAAAGACAGACAGACAGACAGACAGACAGAGAAGAGTGATGAGTGAGAGTGAGAAAAAGAAGAGAGACAGAGACACAGAGAGAAAGAGAGAGACGGACAGACATAGAAGAGTGATGAGTGAGAGAGAGAGAGAGAGAAGAGAGACAGAGACACATAGAGAAAGGGAGAAATAGACAGACAGAGAAGAGTGATGAGTAACAGAGAGAAAGAAAAGAGAGACAGAGACAGAGAGATAGGAAGATGAAAAAATGGGTGAAAAGAGAAATGTTCAAAAGAGTAAAACGACGTCGTTTATAGTGGATCGATAAATCGAGAAGGAGCTCGATAAATAGAGAAGATGGGAGTAAGAGAGTGAGCAAGGCAAACATAGTAAGGGAGAAATAGACAAATAGACAAGTAGACAGAGAGAGAGAGAAGAGTGATGAGTGAGAGAGAGACAAGGAGAGAGAGATAGACAAAAAAAGAGATAGAAAGAGAAAGAGAGAGAGAGAGAGATAGAAGGAGAGATAGAAAAAGAGAGAGAAACAAGAGATGAGCGAGAGATAGACAAAAAAGAGAGAAATAGAGCGAAAAGAGATGAGCGAGAGAGAGACAAAGAAAAAGAGAGAGACAAAGAGACAAGAGAAATGAGGGAGAGAGATAGAGAGAGATAGAAAGATAAGAGAGAGAGAGAGAGAAAAGAAATGAAAGAGATAGAGAGATAAGCGAGAGAGACAGAGAGAAAATGAGAGAGAGAAACAGACAGACAGAGAAAGAAGAGTGATGAGTGAAAGAGATAAAGAGAAGAGACCATTTAGTCCTGTGTGTTTTCTTGTGAACCATTTGGTCCTATTTAGTTGGTAATGAATATTTTCTTTTGATTTGATATGGATGGAGTTTACATATTTATCCTTGTGGTCTAATTTGGGGGATTCTATTTGTTTGTGTGTGTGTGTCAATGTAGTAGGTAACTTTTTAACATTTCCATTTGGGATTGTGATTTGTGCAGAATTATTTACAGTGGGAAGGATTGCTGATGTGGTTTTCTTGTAACATGTGAAATCATTTTGTGCATTTTTGGGAGGTTGTTGGGATGCATTGATTTTCCAACGCCAGCGCTGCTCTGAGCGGCTGGCTGTCAAGGTAATTGTGGGTTGTTTTGTGGGGGATTTTGTTTGGGTTTTGATGTGTGTTGATTATGTTTGTTTTTGTGTTTGTGCAATGTAAGTTTTTTGTGTTCTGGTAAGGCGTGCTTTCATTTCGGAACTAGGGGCTCTACAAGAAAAGTGGGTTTATAAGACGGAACTATTTGCGACGACACACTTGCCGTCTCAAAAAGTTACTTTTTGCGATGGTAGAAAATGCCGTCTAAAAAAAACAAAGTATTTGTGACAGCACCATTTGCCGTCTCAAAAAAGTAGAGTATTTGCGATGGCACCATTTGCCGTCTCAAAAAAGCAGAGCATTTGCGACGGCACAATTTGCCATCTCAAAAAATGAGAGTATTTGCGACGGCAGAAAATACCGTCGCAAATGCTCTCATTTTTTGAGACGGCAAATAGTGTCGTCGCAAATGCTCTGCTTTTTTGAGACGGCAAATGGTGCCATCGCAAATACTCTACTTTTTTGAGACGGCAAATGGTGCTGTCACAAATACTTTGTTTTTTTTAGACGGCATTTTCTACCATCGCAAAAAGTAACTTTTTGAGACGGCAAGTGTGTCGTCGCAAATAGTTCCGTCTTATAAACCCACTTTTCTTGTAGAGCCCCTAGTTCCGAAATGAAAGCATGCCTTACCAGAACACAAAAAACTTACATTGCACAAACACAAAAACAAACATAAGCAACACACATCAAAACCCAAACAAAATCCCCCACAAAACAACCCACAATTACCTTGACAGCCAGCCGCTCAGAGCAGCGCTGGCGTTGGAAAATCAATGCATCCCAACAACCTCCCAAAAATGCACAAAATGATTTCACATGTTACAAGAAAACCACATCAGCAATCCTTCCCACTGTAAATAATTCTGCACAAATCACAATCCCAAATGGAAATGTTAAAAAGTTACCTACTACATTGACACACACACACAAACAAATAGAATCCCCCAAATTAGACCACAAGGATAAATATGTAAACTCCATCCATATCAAATCAAAAGAAAATATTCATTACCAACTAAATAGGACCAAATGGTTCACAAGAAAACACACAGGACTAAATGGATCAACATTCTCTCATTTGGGATTTATCGGTAATTTTTTCTTTTTTTTTTCCATCTTTTATGATTTTTTAAAAACTTTTACAAAAAAAAAATTATATATTTACCTTCTAAACAATTAGACAAAATAAAAAAAAAATTAATTTAATTTAAAATTTGAAAAAACAAAATATTATAATTTACCCACTGCCAATACAAAATTGGGAAAAAAAAAAATCTAATATGTATCTGTTGGATCGATATTGATTTGAGCATCCAACAGGTTAGATTATTTCTCACCTACCCATCTGTCACTTTCTTTCATCTCATCCAACGGCTGAGATTAAAGCCCTCTCTCTCTCTTTCAATCTCCTTCATCTTCCTCCAGTTCCTCTAACCCTAGTTCATCAACAGCCTCATCCCACCAAAATCTGCCGTCGTTCGGCGCCGTCCCTCGATCAACCGCCTCATCCTACCAAAATCCGTCGTAGTTCATCAACCGTCTCCTTGATCGCGCACCAAATGGCGGTTGTTCTGCTTGGAAGGGTGGTTGTTCTCATCTCCATCTCCATCTCTACCTTACCCCCCCTCTCTCTCTCTCTCTCGCTCTCTCCATTTCTCTCCATCTCTGCTTCACCCTCCCTAATTGAAACCCTCCGAAACTAAACTCAAACCTTAATCGACCTTCTGTGATGACGACGATGGAAGAAGAGGGACGATCAATTCTACATATGATCTTTCAAGCATGAAGATTCCTTGAATTTATTAGGTTTTTTTAATATATTTTTATTTATTTGTTAGTTTTGTGGTAATAATTTCTCCAAAAATCTGCTATAATGGCAATTTTTTTTAATATGTATTATTGTGTTGTTACTGGATTTTCCCATTGTGTATGTTTGTTCCATGGAAATTTTGGAGCCAAATTCTGTTTATTTGGATAATGTGGCAAGTTTGGCAGAGGAAATTGCAATTGCCAAATTTGACAGGGTTTATAACAACCACTGGAGCAAGGTTTTTGGAGGCTCTTGCCAAATTTTGGCAATGGCGGCTCTAATAGCTTGCCATTGGAGATGCTCTTAGGTTATAATTGGTTGGTGCTACTACACTTGTATAATGATATGTATCACCGTTATACTCAAGTTTTACTCGTATTGCAGAGTATGCAGACAGCTGTTATAGAGCTAAAACATTTCGCCCATGAGCGTCCATTTGTTGGATATATCATCACCCCATGTGAGCACCAACCCACCTTGAAGCTGGTTCTTCAACTTCACCTACCCCACTAGTGGAAGGGGTAGGTGGTGACCAATGAGGGAGTTGTAGACCGCCCGAACTTCCTCCGCGCGCCCCCCCTTTTGGAGAGGGCGCGGATTGGGTTATTAGCTACTACAGTTCGGACTTTTGTCACAGTTCTGAATCTAATCTCACAAAGTACAATGTAAGATTGATAAATCACCAAAAAGTCCAATCCGGCAAACATTTTGGAAAATCAGATTTTGAATCAAATAATTCCAAACTGGATTGCTTTGCCAGATTACAGAGTCGCCACCTAAATATTTTATTTTGAAAAATTTAGGAAACCCTGACTCGTGCCTAAGGCCACGTGTCCGTCATCACCAAAGTTGCCTCGGCTCGGGAACTTGGGTACGAGGGGGGAAGGTCATGAAATGAGCACCTCCGCTCGCCCGATCAAAGGATCGGCGTCTACTATCATGATATGTTGTTTTATAGACACATGCGTTCTTATTCCGATTATTAATCTAACTTTACTATATGATGCGCATAGCATACAAGTATAGACTCAATCACAATAATTTGAACGAAACAACTCATGTTTGTTTTCGAAAATGGTTTGGAAGTGCTACTCACAAGTAGGCTAAAGCGCAGATTTGCCACCCTCGGGTAGGCTTAAAACATGATTTACCACTTCGCAAAGTGGGCTTAAAACTCTCATTCGTTGAATTGTCATAATTCAGACAATCAAGCCTCCATCCACAGGCATTTATGCAGTTAATCACTTAAGCAAATAGCCTCATGGCAAGCATGCGAATCATGGCAACACTCACACTCATGCAAGTATGCTAAAGCGTAAACACTTACAGTGTACTCCGAGCCAAAACAAAAAACTAGTTAGAAATTAATGCATGATCCTAGCTATGCTAAAATGCCTAATGCAACGCATACAATAATGCAATTAAATAGGCTCGGCTATCTAAGATGGCATACAGATGCAACAATTTGATACACGTATTCAAATAAGTGTTGAAATACGATGCAATTTGAATGATACGCCGAGCCCGGTGCATGCAAGACAAATGAATGATGCACGCATGCAAGCATAAGGATGCTAATTGAAATATGCCCTAAAACTAACCATCGAAAGCGGTTAAATAAAAGGGAGAAAGACATGGGGTTGGAAGACATGCACACACGCACGCACCCTTATTACAACATTTTTCCCTCTCCACGGAAGGTCCGAATAAATAGGCTAAGCTACTTAACTAATCTAATTAACTAACCCTAACTAATTAATTATTACAAACCAAATTGAAACAAATAGCCATGCTAAGCTAATTAGAACATTACAAAAATGAATTGAATTAGCTAAACACGTTAACTAAGTAATTACAGAACCAATAAAGTAACTAGCTAAGTAAAGCAATAAAATGGCCTCGGGGGAGGGAGACATGCATGCTCGGTGTGCTTCGCCCAAAAACGCATTGCCTTGCCATGAGTTGCCTCTGTTTGCACTCACTGTGATCTCAGAACACTGCATAATCTTCCAGATGGCTTCTACTCCAAAATAGAAACACTTTGGACAATTTCTCCTTCAGGTGGCCGGCCGGCCACCTCAACTGGTCGATAGGCTACTTCAACTGGCCGGCCGGCCAATACAAGTGGTCGACAGGCTAATGCAAGTGGCCGGCTGGCCACTTTTCTCTTTAAAATCCTATCTTTGCTGTAACAAAGAGCAACAGAGCGGCAATGTATTTGGCTAGAAATGTGTGTACTACCACCCTCATCATCATGTCTCAAGCTCAAAGGAGTGTAGTACTTGGCTCTCGAGCCACCAATCAAGCATCTCAATGCATGATGGCTCAAAAACTGAGCTTGTACAAGCTTAGTGAATGCGCACATAAGACTCAAGAGGCCTCCACTCTATCATGCACAATCAAGGGGGACGACAACCAAGAAATGTGATACGTTTCATCACTTAAAGTATGAAACGTCCCACATTTCTTGTGTTTGGATTAACGTCCGATCCAAACACATGCAATGCAATACACATGTTATCTTGGCATGTTTTAGTTCACTCAATTCTTGTTTACACATTTTACGTTACCAATCCATTCTTTAATTGGTTAAGTCCAATGTGCAAGTCCTCTAAGGAGAGGAGGTCAACCAAAAGGGGGATTTAAGACATGAGAGGGATTATGCCCTTTGACTAGGAGGAACCCTCAAGAGAGGGTTAAAGCCATGTGAGCATAAACCTTACTTCATGCTTAAACACAAGCTTAAGGCCAAACAACCCTCAAATCAAATTGAAAAACGAAGAAATGGGCGAGGTTGTAGATGTTCAATGCTGAGATGGCATGCTAAAGACCTTAAAGCATGCAAGAAATACAAGCATAACATGTTAAGAGACTTAAGCATTGAAACTAGTGAAGGACACAACACTAGAACCATGCAATACAATGCTCAATGGACTAAACCAACCCTAAACAGGTCTCATGCATGCCCAAACAGTGGCAAAAAAGTGCTGAGATGATAGCATGAAAGGCAAGAAAAATGATGTTCATGCATTGGCTTATAAACAAGGCACAAAGCTTACCTCTCAAAAACAATTAAAGAGCAATATACATGAGAGTATGACAAGGCTATATGCTCTGAAATTACATGTTAAATGATGCCATATCATACAAATATCGCAAACAAGGCATGTTAGAGGGCCTAAAACACAAGGCTAGTAAAGAGTACTACACAAGAAGCATGCAATACATAGCCTAAACAACCAAACCAACTCTGGACAGAGCTCGATTATGTCAAATCAAAGGTCAAAACATGCTAAAATGGTAGCCCAAAAGCTTAGACAAGCATGCATACAAATTGGCTCATGATCGAGGCATAAAGCACAATCCTCCAAAAGCATTGAAAGAGTGGAACATGTGAGAGTATGACTACACTACATACACTAAAATCATGTGAGAAATGAGGCTAAGGCATGCAAACAACTCAAGTAAAGCATGCTAGAGACTTTGAAATTCAAAGCTAGTCAAAGCCACTTGCACTACAACCATACAAGGCAAGCCTCAAAAAGCCAAGACCACTTCAAACAGAGTTTAAGCATGTTAAATAAGGGCCAAAAACATGCTGGAGTAGAGTCAACACATGCTAGAATGATGGACCAAAGCATCAAGCATACAAGGCTAATTAGCAAAATTACACTACAAGTGTAAGAAGCATGCAGGCAAAGATTAAACCTGCCTAAAAGAGAGTTGTGGCAGGTCCAAAAAGTCACAAAAACATACTTGAACTCAGCTTAAGAAAAGGAGAAACACATGCTCACTTGATAGGCCAACAACACATGCAAGCAATACAAAAGGAGAGGGGACTACCCCCTCCCATTTTGGACCTCAAGATCACCTTTCCACCACTGAAATTCCTCTGAGTTTCAGTGTTAGAAAGGCCAAGCAAAGGCTATTACAAAAGCTAAGGAAGGTGGCTCAAAAGGCTTTACAAGCCAAAGAGCAAAAGAGGGGAAACACCCCCTAACCACACAAGACTCAAACCAACATTTTCAAGCCTTAAAATCATAGTTTTTGAGAGGTTAAAAGCAGCCTCAGAACATCATGCAAGGGTGGAAAAACAATGAACTAGAACAAAGCTTAAATGAGGTAGGCCAAAACCACTCCAAGGAGCTCAAATAAGGCCCCCAAGATCCTCAATCACTACGGTGAAGGTGTTTGACTAGGTGTCTTAGTGCAAATATGTGAAAAAAACACACTTTTGAACTCAATATAACACAATATAGAGAGGGAGTAAGAATCCTAGAGAGAGAGGGAGATTTTAGCTCTGAAAAATCTGAACCCTCAAATAGGGGGGAGGGAGCTCCCCTTATATAGAGCAAGCAAAGGCTTGCTTGATCCCTCCATACACGTGTATGGAGGATGAGTTTCAGTGAGCCACAGCTAGCTCAAAAGATCTAAAAATATCTAAAAAGGAGAAAAAATGGTCGCCGGCCAGTTAAGGTGGTCGGCCGGCCACTTCCCCTAGCCGGCCGACCACTTGAAGTGGCCTACAAAAGAGAAAAGTGGCCAACAAGTGCCACAAGTGGCAGGCAAGGCCTTCCCCTCCTCCAGGCAATAGGGATCAAGGTTTGGCCCAAAAACAAAGCCAAAACACAAAGTGTTAAGAGACTCAAAGACAAGGCACTCAGTCGAGACCCATGGGCGTTCAAAACAAGCACAAACATGCGCAATCATCGAGTGCATAACCGATGACGTCAAAGTCTTAAGGTCGGTCAAAAATGGAATGTCTACAGGAGTGCCTCTGTTGTGTATAAATAGAGGAGGGGTTGGATAAGCAAAAGAAGAGGGAGAACCAAGAGAGAAGAGAGTGAGAGATGTGAGGCAGAGAGACCGTCTCTCTCAGTGTGAGCGAGGGAGACGGGTGAGTGGGTGAGTGAGGAGAGTGTGAGCTCATCCTTTATTGTAATCTTTCTATAATCTCTCTATTGTTATAGTGATAACCGGTTACTCTCCCGTGGACGTAAGCTTTAAGGCCGAACCACGTTAAATATGATGTCTCATTCTGTGTGTGGGTGTGTTTTACTGCTTGGTACAATTTCTATAAGGTCTTGGGCGGGATCCTCGATCCCAACAAGTGGTATCAAAGCCCCGTCGGTGGCGTTTCGAAACAAAAACAGTGTTTTCCGAAATTGCCCAGAAATCAAATTGCTCGAAATCAGGTTTCGAGCATACCAGGAGCAAGGACTCGACGAGAGGCATCCAAAAATGCAAAGCAGAGCTCAAGAAAAGCTTGGATGCGCCCTCA